TGTATTCATACATATATGAATATCTTTCAAGAGCCAGGTGGTAGTAGTGCACACCTTTAATCCCAGCATTCAGGGAGCATAGACAGATCTCCTGTCTCAAAGAAACAACAATAGAAGCAAAAGAATATCTTTCAAGATTGTAGTGCTGATCAGTGCAACTATTCAAGAGTGCAAAGTAAGAGGATGTTTTTCCTGTGCAAATGTTTTGCACAGCCCGTCACTCATTAACAGACACTGGCATGTTGCCATTGAGTAGATTTGACTTGTATGCTCTATAAAGGTTTTTTGTGATGCTTTTCTTGAGATTGTGATTTTCCACTTACTGAATAATGGTAAATTTGATGTATTTTACAGTCTAGGCATTTTCACTTAAGCTGCCTGTGGTGTGGTTTGAGACATACATGTTTGTACTATGAACTGTAAGAAATGGAAGATTCTAGGTTTAATCACCTGCTGCTGTATTTGCAAAGACAAAGTTGCTTAAAGAAGTAATTATAATTAGAAGTAGGTTACAGATGTGATACTTGATATTTTTTTTTTTTGATAATTAATATTGACCCAACTTTATTCAGAAATAAAAGAAGCACCAAAACAGAGATCAAATGTCCAATGTCATGTGGAATACTAGGTTCATCTAAAGGTTACAAAAGCAAGCCTGTGTAGTGGGGGCTATAGTCACTAGAGAAAGAGGTTGGCTGTTACAGAAACGCTTCTGGAAAACGCTGATACTTGATATTTTTAAGGTAAAGTTGTTTGCTTTTGTGTGTAATATCTGAAAGCCTTCTTAAGAAATGTGTTTTCATGATTTCACAGTTTCTCCATGTATTTTATTCCTGGGGCCCAATTCTAGGCTTCCCTAAAAAGTCCAGAGCTCAGTTAACATTCTGTTTATAGTCCTAAAGAAAACAAGGCCCTGCAATGCCTGCATTCTCTAAGGAATTCCACCAGTCTGCCTGGAAAGAGCCTTGCTCCCTAAACATCTTCAGCAAAAGATGCCGATACCTGTAGTGAGGACCTCCCCCAAGGCTAGGCCACTGTAACCAGGTTATCTCTCCCTGAAGTCAGGGAGCCACCTCTCCACCCCTGTGGCCACCACCCCGATGCCTTTTGCTCTGTCACATGTGGTGAGGGTCACTTTAAGCCTAATGAGGTTGAGTCATGGGAGTTAGCCAGCCTTACAGCTTACGATAGTGTGAGTGGGCTAAGAATGAGAATTTTGGAAAAGATTGCAGCCTTTTACCCTTTAGGGTTGTTTCTGATATTCTGTAGGCCTGAAAGTGCCCACCTAAATAAAATAGAGCTAAGAAATAGTGAAATAGACATGTAAGACAATCCTGAGGTAGGCCCAGTTGGTTGATTGGCTTTCTCATTTTAAAATGACATTGCTCTACAAATACATGCTAAGTTTCTTGGCCTGGCTGGTCCTTTTTAACCACCATACTAATACTTTTAACTGTTCACCTCTCTGCTTTAGTGGATGTCTAAAGCAAGAGTGAATCTTAACATGACCATATTTGTTCAAATATGACACACAATAGAATCTAACATCAGGAGAACTATGTACACCATCCTGTGAAGTTTATTTCTGTGGTTTTTACATTTATTTTATGTGTATGTGTGTGTGTGTCTCTGGATGTATGCTTGTGGAAGCCAGAAGGAGCATCAGATCCCTGAACTACAAGTGTTTGTGAGCTGCCTGATGTGGGTTCTCTGGAAGAGCAGCAGACATTCTTCATCACTAAGCGCTCGCGCGCGCTCTCTCTCTCCAGCTGTTCTGTGTGTTCTCTTAAGTGAGCAGATTAAGCCATTTTTTCTGATACTGGTTTGTGGTGGAAAAAAGTACTTACACATAAGTTGCTCAGAGTTGGGGGGGAGTGTGCCACCCTAAGTTGTGAAAACTGACATTGTACACTACACTGGCTACTTCCTGGTTGAGATTTGCCTGAATCCTACTTGCAGGTCCTAGAAATGGTGCGATAGAATCTTAGAATATCCAGGTTTCTAACCCTGCTGAAGTCTTGACTTTGGAGAAGCTGTAAGGAAGCTAAGGGAGTGAGAAGATCGGGGGAGGGGTGGAGTAAAGATCTTAACACCCCAGAGCATGAGGACGATCTGAATGTGAATCCCTAGGACCTATAAAGCCAGGGTGGTAATGCATGCTGGGTAATCTCTTCAAACCTGAGATGCAGGAGGATTCCTGGAAACTTGTGGGCCAGCTACCCTGGGGCACACAGCAGCAGGGAGGCACAAGAGGCTGTTCAAGGTGGTGGACACCCAAGGTTGTCCTCTGTCTACATGTGCATCATGACAAACATACATTCACACATGAATGCATGCACACAGAAATAAGGCATCGGAAAATTTAAGTTATTGTGTTTGTATTGTCTTTTTAAGCCTCATGTAAAAGTTATTTAGGCTAGTGTTGCTTAAAGATGGTTTAAGGTAGTTTTAAAAGGTAGCTTCTTGGGAGCTAGAGATGGCTCTGCAGTTATGAGCCCTGACTTCTCATCTGGAAGACCTGGTTCAGTTCCCAGCACCCACATAGCAGCTTACAACTGTCTAACTCGGGAGATCTGATGTCCTCTTCTGGCTTCTGTGGGTACCAGGCACAAAAATGCAGGTGAAACATATATACACATACACATACAAATACACATACACATACACATAAATAAATGCTTAGAAGAGAAGGGGGGGGTAGCTTCTCTTTAGAGATAAGAAATCAAGTTTAGAAGAAGTTAGGTAAAACCCCAAGGCCATCCCTCATCCCTGACGCTTTCCTGTCAGTGAGACAGCCTGTGCCCTGAGTTGGGCCACACTCATCTATGCCCTGCACTTCCATATGGTTCCTTCATGGTCAGTCTAGATAGAACTCTGCCACGAGCCATTCTGTCTTGGTTTAGACCTCTTAGTGTATCCTGAATAGGTGCCAGAGCTCTGGGGAAGCTTTTCAAGGAAAAGGCTCAGCTCTAACGTTTTGAGATGAAGAGGCCAGAGACAGTGGTGCTTTCTCCTATCATCCTACTTCTCGCTCTGCTGAATTTCCTGGGAGCTAATGATAGCTCTCTCTCTCTGCTATTCATATTTCTGGTCATTCCAACACCTTGGAAGAGAAATAACGCCTCTACAATTTGCATGCATGGTCCCACTTGGCCTCACAAATGAAGGCAAAAGGTTTTTATCTCCATTTGATAGATGAGGAAACTAAGGCTGGTCAGTGGTAGAGCTCTGACAGACCTTATGTTGTAGCTGGAAGTTTTCCTGTGTCCTGCCCAGTCCCGCAGCCACTCAGACCCAAGTAAACACAGAGGCTTATATTAATTGTGAACGGGATGGCCTATGGCTCAAGCTTCTTGCTAGCTAACTCTTAACCCATTTCTATTAATCTACAAGTTGCCATGTGGCTGTGGCATTACCAGTCAGCTGGCATCTTGCTGCTCCTTGGGTGGTGGCAGGTGTTTCCTTTACTCCCCTATCTCCTTTCCTATCTCTCTTGGATTTTCCTACCTGGCTCCATCCTGCCCTGCCATAGGCCAATGGAGCCTTAGTTTATCAACCAATCAGAACAACACATGGACAGCGTATATAGGAAGATATCCCACAGGACTGTTGTGGGGCCAGGATTAGAGTCTTCACAGACTGCCCTAGTAGCATGTTGTTTTCTAAAGAGGTTCTCTGTGTTCCATGTCCCTGCCTTGGCTGCCTACTGCTGTCTTCTCACAGAACTCCATAGGAAGTCAAGTCCATCTAGTATGGGTGAGTGTTGGGTGGCATGTTTGGCACACATTCCTTCTCTGGGTTCACTAATTGTATGAAAGGGCTGGTTTTGGAAGCATATAGTGATTTGCAGTGCTTCACATACTGATGGAAAATCAAAGTGTTGTGTTTATAAAGGCAAGTTATGCTCCAAGGTGTCAGTGTTGAAAGCATTTAAAATGTGGATCTGAGAACAGCTTACGAAAGGCAACAGAAGGTCAGACCCGCTAGTTCCAGTCCAGTCTGTAGTCAGCAGTTCTTAAAGCATAAGGTATGCAGCTGTGGTAACTGCTCGGCCAAAGGTGAT